TGGTAACAATATTGTTAACAACTCCCATTTAAACGGTTCATTTTTAATAACATTTAATGACACAACCAATATTAATAATATCTCATATACCAATTTGGAAAACAAAATTCTTGATTACATAACTACGAATCACTTCAAAAATTATGAAATATCCGATTATATACTATCAAATAACTCGGAACTTTCTTTAGATAATATAAACATTTTAAATCCATTTATTAAAATTAATAATACTAAAATATCACTTACCTTTATATTATTAATTTTAATCATTATATATTTGATTTTTTTACTTATTATAAAATACAAAAATGCTATATTATTTGTAACCAAAAAACAACGGCCAGAACCAGAAAAATCTATTAACCAAGAAAATTTTATAACAGAATTAAGAGAGCAATTAAATGAATTTCATATTGAATCGGGACGATCCATTTTAGAAGGGGGAGAGTTATCCAACCCGTGAAACCAGGCCACTTATGGCTTTTATAAACAATATTTTCAAACTCTGCATTTGCCTTTGTCTTTGCCTTTGGCTTTGAGGTCCGATCTTGGTTCCCCAACTAAGTTAAACAAATCAAAATTAAAGTAAACATCAGCTTCTGTTCGAAGCCCAATCAATTGCTAATTGAATTTCACAATGAAATGCGACAGTTTCATCTTGAGCGCAAATTAAAATTAAAGTAAACATCAGCTTCCGTTTGAATCCCAATCAATTGCGCCCTTTTGCGTTTCAAGTTCCCACCAAATTGCATCGGTCAGCATAATTGAATTTCACAATGAGATGCAACAGTTTCATCCTAAGCTTTTAATCTAAACATAAATTGAAGTTCTAAAGTTCAAAAAGAAAAGCTCCTGGCCGAGGTTCATTGGATTAGATTTAGAAATAAAGCAGCAGTCCTATTTTCATCGTGACCGCGATCGGTTGTATAAAACATTAGAAAGTAAAAAGTGTCTTGTATTAAAAGTGTTTAAGAATAAAAGGTTTATCACCAAATAAATATAATAAAAAAAATTGTATTTTTTTAATTCATCGAACAACACAAAATTTAATTTGCATGTGTAAGTAGCCACGCTGTAATACATCAAGCCGAATAGAGCTTAATCTAAACCATCCAAACTTTGAGTGAACCAACAAAATGACCCTGGAAACGGATACCACAGTCTGTGGGATTTGCAAAAAGACCCGTGCCTCTGATGGTATCCAAAATTGGGTACAATGCGATAATTGCAAAGAGTGGTACCACTTTGTCTGTGCTGGAGTGAACAGTACTATTTCGCAGCTGGATTGGACTTGCGCCTTGTGCAAAGTCGCTGAAACAGATGCGGCTTCAACAAGCGGACTGCAACATCAACTGGAAAAGGACAATCCATTTGATTTACAAATCAATTAAGTCAATTTGGATATCTCGAAATTGCAAACCAGTGCAAGCCTGAACTCGAATCCCACCAATACAATCACACCATGTCCAAATAACTTGACGTTGGCAATGCTGGAAGAAACACGCGAAGCTGAAATGAAGTAAGTCGATCAAAAATACAAAAATATTGCTGTCCCAAACACAGGGAGCAACCGCTATGTTACTTCCATCAATATTAATTGGACCAACTGCATCCCAGCTAGCCGCAAGACAGGTGCTATCTCCGGATCTGCCTACCTTCAATAGCAACGCAGAGGACTGGCCAATTTTCATCAGCATGTACGAAAATAGCTGCGCCGTAGTCGGCTTCTCAAACGCTGAAAACATGCTTCGACTCCAGAAGTGCTTCAAAGGAAAAGCCTTTGAATTGGTGCGTGATAAGTTACTACTTCCAGCGCTAGTTCGAGAAGTTATCAACACCCTGAAAACCTTTTATTAGACGCCCAGAACATATCCTTGATTGTTTGATCAACAAAATCAGGAAGGTCAACGTACACAAAGACAGATTGAAATCTCTCATCGATTACGCTAAGGCATGCGCAACTATGGAGGCCTGCAATCTGACCTCTCATCTTGACAGCCCAACGCTCCTGCGCGAGCTTGTTGATAAGCTGCCCGCGCAACAGAAGCTCAACTGGGCCTTACACCCCCGCTGTAACGACATACCAGTTGTTAAGTCATTCAGCGACTGGGTGTATAAATTAGCAGAGGCAGCATCAACCGTTATAGCCGTACCAAGTTTAAGGACCAGCACAAGCTCACTAAGGAATGGACAACGATGATGATTCTAAATCAGATCAAAAAGCAGCTTCAAGCCTCACATGTGCGATGTGAAAATCAGCTAAACATCAAGCTGCCCAGTGTCAGAAATTTAATTACTTAATTTAATTACTACTGAAGAACGGCAGCGCATAATTAATGAGGCTTAAGCGGGCTAGAGCTGCAAATGCTTTTCAAGACGTGACTGTGGCGTCGACAATTGTCAGTTCGAGCACCACCCACTTCTGCACAGAGATGCACCGAAGGCAGTACTCGTCAGTGTCCACCATAATGATAGCGACCGTGAAGAACAATACTGCCGAATCGTGCCAGTCACTCTATATGGAAGCGGAGTAACTTTCAACACCTTTGCCTTTCTGGATGAAGGCTCATCTGTCACGCTAGTTGACGAAAATATTTTGCGGGTCCTTAAAGTTTCCTTAACACTGGAACCACTATGCCTATAATGGACTAGCGAAACCACTCGCATGGAGGAAACATGTACCAAAGCTCACATTCAAATATCAGAAGCGGGAAGTCAAAAAAGGATGTGGCTAAACAACGTACGCTCAGTTAAAAACCTGGTTTTACCAAAGCAAAGCGTCGATGTCAACAAACTATGTAACCAATATTCACACTTGCCAGTCATACTTTAACGCACAACCAATGCTGTTAATTGGCGCCAACAACTGGACTTTGGCAGTACCTCGGAAGATTCGTAAGGGAAGACACAACGCTCCTAAAGCCTCAAAGAGCTTACTGGGATAGAGCATTCAAGGATCAAGCAATTCAAACCGTCACGGCTCCTTGCATCACTGTGACTGTAACTGGCCAGAAATCGAAAAAGCTGTGAAGGAAAGCTTTAATGTAGACCGTATCGCACCGCGGGAGCTCCACTCTGAAAACGATAAAAAGGCTATAGGTAGTCTGGAAGAAACTTGTAAAAAAATTAACGGCCATTATGAAGTTGGCTTGCTTTGGCGCGATAAGGAGGTAACCTTTGCCAGAAAGCTATTCTACTGCATTAAAACGCCTCAATTGCCTACGAGCCAAAACTAACAAGGATCCTGACCTGTTCGATCAAATACAACGACAAAACGACAATCTCATAGTAAAAGGCTACGCAGTCGAGCTCCTACCCGAAGATGTAGCTCACAAGCAAGATCGAGTATGGTATCTAACAATTTACTTTGCCCTAAATCCTAACAAGCCAAATAAAATAAGGCTAGAATGGGATGCTGCTTCAAAAAGCCACTGAAAATCGCTTAATGATTTTATGCTGCATGGACCCGATTATCTGCACCCATTGACTGATATTCTAATGTCATTGAGAGTCGGTCGTATGTGCAGACATCGCCGAAATGTTTCATCAGATAACTATTCAAGAAAGCGATAGACATGTACAACGATTTCTATGGCTTACCAAAAATTGTCAGGCACCAAGGATTTTTGTCATGCGCGCAATTACTTTTGGAATTTGCTGCGCTCCTTGCATTGCTTACCATGTACAAGAATTCTTATCCGCGTGCTTATGAATCCATAACACAAGCTCACTACGTAGACGATCTCATAGACAGCTACAAGGACTACAATGAAGTAAAAGATATTCACTCCGAAGGCGGATTCATTATCAGAAATTGGATTTCCAACTCTACCGCAGTTCTTCAACATCTCGGAGAGCGCCAAATCGACACCCAAAATTATCTTGATAGATCATCGGTCTACTACTACACGCTGCTGTTTCCTACCTCCGTATAAAGCGAGGAGACGACAACGAAACTGTATTAGTAGCCGCCAAGTGTAAAGTCGCGCCTTCAATGATGAAACACTCTGAACGGCTCTCATGGAAGCTGAAACCATCATCAATTCCAGACCATTAACCTTTGTATCCCTAGATTCAGCAGACCATGACGCCCTTACCCTAAAACACTTCCTATTAGGCTCATCGAGCGACTACAAACCAAGAGCAGATCACAACACCGATCCAAGGCTGCAGTGGCATCAAACGCAATCATTTGCTGATAAGTTTTGGAAACGATGGGTAAAGGAATATACACCAACACTAACTAGGCGCGGCAAATGGTTCACTAAACGCCTCCCAATCGCCGTTGGTGATGTAGTCGCCGTCATTGATGATCAACTACCGAGGAACCTGTGGCCAAAGGGGCGTATTAGTGACGTAATAAAAGTCAAGGATGGGAAAGTTCGCAGAGTTTCCATTTGAATACCAAAAGAAACTATGATCCCCCCAGTCGCCAAAATAGCAGTCTTGGACGTCGGATTTGAGGAAAGTTATATTGTACACTGGTTACCGCCGCTCGATACTAGAGAATTAAAAACACTTCTTTTGAAATTGAATTGTTTCGAAACTGGAAAGTTATAACTTCACAACTTTATAATGCCAAAGATTATGGTGCATCATACAAAAATAAAGGAAACTAACTTCGGCAAGATGAAATAATGGAGTTATGAAAGGTTTCTAGTTAATTTTCCAATTTCTTCTATAACAGCTATTTGAGCGCTTATTGTGGAAGGAACGATTGCAATAGATCAAAAAAAGTTGTTGTACCAACTAAACAGTTATTTTGTGACATAACTTAAGTAATTTGGTTTATTGTTTAGCAGTGCCTAATATATTTTCACTGTTTTGTGTTTGGCTTATGGTTAATGATATAAGCATAATGAAACTATTATTAGAGATGGGTGCCTTCCCTTTCGCTCCTATTATTATTAATTTAAAAGTTGAAATCAAAATTAATACTGAAATACTATAAGCGAGAAGCGAATTGATGCGATCTTAATTTAATTATGTGTAGTTACCGACACATGCACCAAGATTATTCCTATAAAATCCAGAAGAACAGTCCAATTGGGATACCGCAGGTGCAGCATAGTTGAGACGTGTATAATGCTGATGTATTGCCAATGGATATCGAGAATTATTTGTCCTGGGTGCAGATTCTATAGTTACAGGTGGAATTGTAGTTGAAGTCGTTGTAGTGGTTGAGCTTGTTGTGGTTTTTCTGTAGCATCGAAATGATCCCTTCGTGTTGTGGCAATCATAGTTTGAGGGACAGTTATGTGTATTTAGAATGCACTCATCATCGTCTTAAAAGAAAAGTTTAATCAAATATAAAGTTAAGTTAAAAATGACACACAATCCTTACTTCGAAGTCCGAAGCTTTAAATAACAGTGACACAATTTTTTATTCTTATTGAGCTGATTTTGAAGTTGTAAAACAATTCCCAAGCGGCCAAAAAAACAATAATTTGCACACTTATCTCGCAGATTCAAAAATTATATTGTATTCCAAAAAAGAGTTTAACATGTTAGATTAGGTATAAGTAGTTGGGGATGACGGAGTTCAGCCACCACATATTGATCCTTGAGAGTACGGTGTTCCCCGACGCTCGTCGGTTAGTTAGTCTTCTCTAAACCTCTTGTCATTTGTGTGAATCGGTGTAGGTTTGGATTCCTCATGCCACGTATGAGTCTACTGTAGGGTCCCAATTGTAATTGAAACGTTTTTCTTATTAATTTGTATCAGAGTTTTGGTTCCCTTGCTATCGTGATTGTAAAGTTTACCTTCGATGTTCTGAATGTGCTTACAGGATGCATGTCCTTCTTGGGACGTCCAGGAACACGCAGCGACTGTTGCTGAGGTTATCTTGAGGGAGTCTAGGGCTCTAAGAACCGCTTGACATGGGGACATATATATTAATGACCTTCGTTAACGACTTCGCCTTTGCGCGATGGTAAAAACACCTCATATAATTGGCAAAGCTAACAATAGCAAGGCGACTATCCATCGTTTACTTATTGTCTAACTTTTTTGTAGCCTCGGGTGGTGACGATTCTTTACGAACAGCTAACCGTAACTATGCCATCTGGTTGCTCACAATAATTTCGGACATAATTAATGGATTAGATATTAAGCGAATAAATACCACTATATACCATAACATGTTTACCAAAGGCATTACTCTGCGCAGACATCAAAAACGTAAGAATCATAGCTTTTATAGTTTTTGAAAATTCGACGATCGTACGGATGAACAGACTGACAGGTCCAAAATCTATTCGGCTTAAAATCAGGAAAATGTATACGTGTTATAATTCAGCTGAAGAGCTAGTTGGATGGCTTAAAGGGCGCCGAGCATTAAGTTCCAGATAGCGAGTCCCCTGCACCGAAGGGTAGCTGCAAATAGGATTGGCGTTCGGAATGGGAGAGAGCAAAGGGAGAGATCTAAGGGGTCATTCGAATCGTGTACAGAGGTAATCTGGCTGGGAGCCTAGGATAACAAATGGGAGCGCAGAATAACTCAGTCGGTAATGTTAAAAACGGCATCGAGGTCAGTACACGGGCAAAAGAAGGCCCCAACACAGCAAGCAGGTCCTCTGGAAGGGCAGATAGCTTAAGTCATACTAAAACGTCTGGCCATCAGCTTCATAACGGCAGACCAAATCTCAAAGTAGGATTTCTCGCATGAAGATTTAGCCTAGGCAAAAGCGGTCATGCCTGACTTCGACATTGCAAAAATCCTATGTCGTGAGAGGATCGGATCCTTCACAGCTCTCTGGCCCCACAGACATCTTAATCCTCATAAACATGTTCAACACGAAAATCCCTTGAGTGGTGCTCCATGAACGTGTTGACTTTCACAAACAAGAAGCTCGTCTATGCATTTACGATAGGGACAAGCTAGCTGCGGACTTGCGACAACCAGAGCAAAGATGGTCCAGCTAAGAAATATAACAACCGCTGATAACTACTGAAGACTTCAACAAACACAGTAAAATTACTTAATACCTCAGTAAACACAGTAAAATTACTGGAAAAATCCGCAATTAACTGAAAGCATTGGAGACCACAAGAGCCATCACAAGCACTAAATAGAGGCATAACAGGCAACATCAAAATGAAGAATACATGTAAAATGGTAAGACCATTTTGTTGGGTATACGGATAGAATAGAATACGCACGATTCACTGTTGTCGCCAAACAGAGAAACTACCCAGGGCTCACGACACCGACAGGCAACCCGCAACAGGAGTAAAATATGGTCGGCACATGCTTGCACAAGTAAATGTAGGCATCGACATCGAACCCAGGAGAACTTTTATATGCTGTGCACTAACACGGAGAACTACTTCTAGGAGTAGATTTCCTCGAGCAATGAACGCTACAACACCGATCGGAGGAATCACTGCACAAATTAAGCAAAACAAAAAAAACTGACAGAGAAATATACAGAGGAAGAAATCCAGGAGACGCTTAAAAAAGAACTGGAAAAGATGATCAAGGGCATTGCCCACATAGCCAAACACAACTATTTATGAAGCATGACCGTCCTATTATGCAGATATACTACACCCGAAACCGAGCGATGCAATCCATTATAAATGAGCAAGTGGCCGAACTTTTGGCACAAGACCTCGCACTCCGCAAACAGCTGTCCGGTGATAATCGTAGAGAAGAAAAAAAAGCAAGACTGTGTTTAAAATATATAAGCAGCTGAATGTACAACACTAGCACACTATATCTAAAAAGTGTCAAAAAGGGAGTCAAGTTCAAGTGGGATGAAGAAAGGGAAAGAGACCCAAGCCTTAAAGCGTGCGGTATATTGCCCAGGCTTTACAGACTGACAATATTAAAGTACGCTACTGTAAGAGGAAGCTAACCATAGCGAGGTGGGGTCACTAAGAAATACGGAAAACCAATCCCCGGGTAATGGCAACCTACTGCTGGCAAGACAGGCATCGTGATATCAAGCAATACGTGCGACACTGCGAAGCATGCCTCAAGGAAATGCTTACATAAATCGCACAAGCACCGTAGGAAACAATATGAGGAGACTTTGTCGGACCATAACCAAGATCAAGCCTCCGTAGCAACATGTTATTATGCCTCTTTGTTGGTAGAACACAGAAAGCGTGCAGTTTCCCCGCTTTGAACTACGTATAACTGCTCGATTACAAATTTCAAATTGGTACAGTGGGCCGAATAGGTAAATTGAGTAAGAATAATTTGGTCTGTTTTTGCAAAAAAGCGGCCTGGTAATTAGGGCTGACCTGATGACCTTTGAAAAAGGCCCAATTTGCAGTTCTGTTGCAACGCTTGTGCCGAGGTTGCGAACGAGATGAAATTGCTCATGCGCCAAATAGGGCTGATTAGCTGATTCGGCGTTGCTAGTGATAGTTTACGTCTTTGCGGTGGAATCGCAGCTTAATAGCTGTGAGCTATTAGAGAAGTCCCCTAAGCGAAAGAAAGGCGCTAATGATAACCAGCAAAAGGGGCATACTTCGCAGCCGGAACAGCAGAGCACTCTCGCAGATCAGCACATAACACTTAAATGTTGCTAGCATGCTGATTTTAAAAAGATGAGCTACAAAAGATTCGGTATCCGAACGATTTTTCAGCTGTGGTTTCACAATCACCAACTCTAGTTGCAAGCAGTTCAAATTCAAACATCGTATTTGCGGGAAAGAGCCTTTAATAGATATTATCAATTACCTTGGCAAGACAAGTCTGCCGCTGTACAAAGAAATTAAAAAACAATACAATTTAAATTTAACAGTTGTTTTTTTTTAATTAACTGATAATTATTTTTTAATTTAATCTGTATAGCTGCACTTTCGTACATTTTTGACCTAAGAAACATTTTGCTCTGACAAGAGGCACCCCAGATAGTATTAATGTTATTTTGTCCTCACATGTAAACTCATGCAATCGAATTTTGCGAGTTTTTTTTAGTTTTTCCCTCCATGTTTAGTGAGAGACATTTCCGCAGACTGGCAACGCTATGCAATCTTCTGGTATTTTTTTCGTCGATCTGAGGACCGAGGTGAAAAAAAACCGTTGACGAAAAGTGATCGCCAGCTGTTTGCCTTTCTCTCTCTCTCATGACTGGCGGACAGTTTTTTTTCGATCTGAGTACTAGGCTATAGTATAAAGGCGAAAAGTCATACAATCTTTCAAGACCACTGTCCAAACGAGGTTTTGGTAGCCATATTCTCGAAATCTTAAAAATCATTCAAACGAATACATTGTTTTCGCAAGGCAGACTTTCTGAGGCTAAATAATTTTATTTCTGGCTTTAATTAGTATGATCTTTACTTATGCAATAATATATCTGAGCAGTTAATGTTTTTTACACTGCAATAAACTCTGTTTTTAATGTCTGTGTTCCGTGGTACTATCCGTTAATCTCCAATAAATTATCTTTATTTAACAAAGAGTTGACATTCTTAAGAAATGTAAAGTCCAGACTTTTTAGGAAATATAAAAATACTGGTTCTCCCACGACCCGAAACAGTTTTATAACTTCGTTAGCACGAATCTTTGATAGGCACAGCAGAAGACTAATTGGCCTATTTCGATTTTGATGCTTAAAAACAATGAAGCTAGGTCAATTTTACGATAATTAGATAGAAGTCAGATTTTAATAAAAATTAACGGTACTTCTGAAATTTAAAAAAATGACGATATCTCCGGTATAAGGGTATATATTAAGAAACAACGAAGCTATAATTTTATTTCTCTTTTCTTTCCGATTGTTCATATGGGAACTATATAGGAGTGCAATCGGGTCTGTTACTATTTAAATAGACGGACAGACGGACGGAGAGAAAGATAGGCGGACGGATAGACGGACATGGCCAGATGGCTAGTATAAAAATGGAGTTCTTACCATTACTAGTAGTTGGAATTGTTGGCGGTCATCGCGCAGGCGCCATAAACAAGTTTGTGAAAAGTAATTTTAAATAAATAAGATCTGTATAATTATACATTCAAACTAATGATGAGATTACGATCCTTGCAAAAATGGCTTAAGCAAATAAACTTCTTGGAGCTATTAATATCTAAATAGTCTTAAAAATATATATAGTTGTTTTACAATTAATACGGTATACATTAAAAGATGAAAAGAACGCAATAAAGTTGTGTTCAAGGCACTTGGTGCTTGGAGAACTATGAGTAATATTGTAGTTAAAAACACGAATTGAGTCCAAATGGAAGTAGTCTGAAAACTGGTACTTCTAAAGGACGTATCCGTCGAATTTATTTCAATTAAGAAGGGATGATGGTAAGATGGTGAAGGAGGA